TAAATCAATACTCTTTTTCCAATCGGATTTCAAATATCAAACTAGTCTATCAAACGTATTTAGTTATAACAATTAATTACGCCGTTTACGATTAAAGATTGCACAAATATACCTACACATATATCATGATAATAAAACACTAGTATTACATAAACATCTGACCCTAAGGCGTTTAGTCTGAAGAAGAGTAAGTAAAAGTTGTAGTTGTGGTCAATAATGTTAATGGAGTACTTAAAGGCAAATGTCAATGTCAAGGTATCGCAGCCGCTATATGGTGACTCCTATTACATAATACAATGGAGTATGTTATAACAAGGCTTTCTACTGATGTTACATACTATTATAAACACTGGCACATACATATATGCATGTATAAATTTGAATGTCTATTAATTGTTTGTAATTTTATCTGGAAATAAAACCTAGTTAATTATAAAAATTAAGTCGTAATTTTTAATCGTTGTCAAAATATTATTTTTTATTTTGAACACCGAATACGATTTTTATGAATATTAAACCAATCTACTACAATTAATGCACAGGTTTTTCTATTCTATATGATTAGTAAGAAAGATGTCTATTTTTTTGGAATCAGTTCAGGATGTACCTTGTAAAGCAAACCTTGTGCTTAATTTTTTATTAAACAAAATCTGAAAAAAAATCGAAAATTTTTCCTTTTTGTTCCCATATTTTTGCTTATAACTCTAGAGATATTGCTCGCACAAAAAATACTTTAAGAAAGTAAAAGTTTCGTTTTTCAACTTTACGTTATATTTGGCTAGCTAGAAATAAAAAATATAATGATCGATCATTGGGAAAATGGTGCAAAAAAATGAAATTTTTCTCCTAAAATAACTTTACAATACGACTGAAACGTGTGCTAAATTTCATTAGGATCGGCTTAATAGTTTTTGCATATTATTTTGCAATCCAGGTTCAAGACTTTTTTGCATATAAACAACGTCTTAAGCTTTCAACGCACATAAAAGAAATTAAATCAGACAACTAGACAAGCCGAAGAATTTTTTTAAACGTTTAGTACTTTTTTTTAAATTATACGTCATTTTCAAATAATAATACATTTTCAAATTGAAGCAATTATTAATTATTATAAAATGCTTAATAACATTAATTTTAATTACTATTAAACTGGGAATAAGCCACAATTAAAGATAAAAATACGTTTATTGACGTTTCAATTTCCACTTCGGAAATCGTTCTCAAAATACAAACAGTAAATTAAACAAATTTTGTTTTTTGTTACATAGTGAAAAATTCTTCTAATAATTTAATTTTATCTGACTCATTTATATTGACAATTCAGACATACATTATGCATTTTAAAGTAGATGACTTTAAAATTATATTGCCAATATTGTTGAGTTTCACTCCTGGGACGACTTTACTTATAAGATAGGATATTCGATTACATGAAATCAACTTTAACTTAAGAATATCCGTCAGAAAAAAATCATAGCATGTAATTCGTCTTTAAAAAGACAAACACATGACATGATGACAGTAAAATTTTCCTGTTAGTGATTCCATAGTAAATTATGAGGGAAAACCAGGAAAAAAACCTCATAATAATATCCCGACATTTTAAGTATTTGTTCGTGAATTTGTTTACCTTCAACAAACATCAAAATTCTGATTTTATATGTTCCGTTATTTAAAAAACATAAATGATGTATCCTCTATATGTTACTGACTTACTAATACTGGTATTTTTTTTATTAATAACTTCCTCTTTCAATATTGGTAACCAGATCCTACTACATTCTGCCGAGGAATTTGCGACACAATTGGCCTCATTTAGCATAATTAGAGCCGCTTCTTTGATTTGTCTTTTTTTACCATCCGTTTCTTTTAGGACTACATTTGAATTATTCCATTGAACCCTATGTTCATTATCCCATGCGTGTTTACAGATTTGAGATCTATCAAATTCTTTATTTTTAATATAAGATTGATGTTCACTTATTCTAACATTTAATGGCCTTGATGATTCACCTAAATAAAACTGATCGCATTCACAAGGTATTTTATAAATGCAATTCTTTGTCCTTTCTTGTTCATTGTTAGGTTTGGTTTTGGACAAAATAGATCTCAACGTGTTTGTTGTTTTGAATGTTGTTGAAATGTTAAATTTATTTCCTATCCTTTTAAGTTTTTCTGATAGTCCTTTTATGTACGGTATTGTTATTTTCCTCATATTATTCCTTGTGTATGCTGTAGGATCTCGTTCTAAGTTGTTCTGTGCTATTCGATCGATTGTTGAAAATTCCTTATTTATAAACAATAAAGGATAATCATTTTTTAATAAAACAGATGTTAACAAATGTTTCTCCTCCAAGAACGAATTTTCATTGGAACAAGTAATTTTGGCTCTATCGTATAAGGATTTAATTATTCCCTTTTTTACATTAATATTGTGATTTGATTTGAAATTTAACTATCTATTGGTGTGTGTTGGTTTTCTATACACCTGAGTCTCATATCCAGTATCGTTCTTAGAGATTAAAACATTAAAACATAATATATATATATATATATATATATATATATATATATATATATATATACATAAAACATCCTAAAAGAAACGGATGGTAAAAAAAGAAAAATCAAAGAAGCGGCTCTAATTATGCTAAATGAGGCCAATTGTGTCGCGAATTCCTCGGCAGAATGTAGTAGGATCTGGTTACCAATATTGAAAGAGGAAGTTATTAATAAGAAAATAACAGTATTAGTAAGTCAGTAACATATAGAGGATACATCATTTATGTTTTTTAAATAACGTAACATATAAAATCAGAATTTTGATGTTTGTTGAAGGTAAACTAAATTCACGAACAAATACTTACAATGTCGGGATAGTATTATGAGGTTTTTTTCCTGGTTTTCCCTCATAATTTACTATGGAATCACTAACAGGAGAATTTTACTGTCATCATGTCATGTGTTTGTCTTTTTAAATACGAATTAAATGCTATGATTTTTTTCTGACGGATATTCTCAAGTTAAAGTTGATTTCATGTAATCGAATGAACTATCTTATAAGTAAAGTCGTCCCAGGAGCGCAACTCAACTAACAAAAAACAAAATTTGTTTAATTTACTGTTTGTATTTTGAGAACGATTTCCGAAGTGGAAATTTAAATCAATAAACGTATATTTATCTTTAATTGTGGCTTATTCCCAGTTTAATAGTAATTAATTTACAACGCCACAAGAAAATAGCTTCAGAACAATAACATTAATTTTATTATGTACATTATTCTAAAAAGGTAGATTTTTTTTTAATAAACCCAAAACGAAACTTTTACCTTTTATGAAATTTTTTTGTTATAAAATACCTTTTATAACATACCTCTCCAGTTATAGCTGAAATTATGGTCGCAAAAATATAATCGATTTTTTTCTGATTTGGTGAAATAAAAAATTTAGCACAAGGTATGCGTCTGACACGTATCGTGATAATTGTTCCAAGGTAGTTTCTAAAGTGATTCTAGACTCCTATGGAAAATATCCAATTCGAAACAGATTCATGTTTTGAGACATAAACCTGTTTCTATTGAGCTGTGTGGTTTTAAAGTTTATCAGTAGAGTGCCAACCTGGCTGGAGACCCCCTCCTTAATCTGGGCTTAAGACCTGCAGTCCTGTCGAGCTACTTGATCCACCTAACAAAACTGCAGGTGTAGTTATTAGGACTTAATAACACTATATGGCAAAATAGACACATTAACATTGAGATGAAGTCAAGAATTTATAAAGCCAGTGTAAGACAAATAATGACATATGACTCAGAAACAAGACCCGCCACAGCCACAGTTCAAAGGCTACTGGAAACGGCAGAGACGAGAGTAGTAAGAGTACTAAAAAGAATTACAGGAAATAAGCTGGGATATCGAAAGAGAAATGGAGCCATTAAAAGAAAATCTAACGTACAATGTATAAATAAATGGACACAAAATAGAAAAAAAGAATGGAATAACCATATAAGCACAATGAAGGAGACTCGTGTCGTCAAAAGAACAAGAGATAAGTCACCAATCGGCAGAAGTATCGAACGAACGCGCAAAAGATGGAGTGACAACCTTCCATAGAGGTATCTCCACCATCAATCCACCAACGAACAAGCAGAATTGCTTATAAAGAGGAAAAAGAAGAAGAAACAGATTCCGTCTGGACCCAAAAGCCATTATAGGAAAAGAAAACATGGTTTCTAAAAGGACGAGTATACTTATGACAATGTTTTGATAGACGTGATAGATAGAACGAACTGTAGATAGAACTATAGACGAACTAATAGACACAAACTCTTTCAAATTAATAGATAAAAGATAATATCCAATACGCCTTAAAAGAGGACGAAATACAGATAAATATCATAATTGTTATGCAGTCAAAGAATCAATAACATTCAGAACAAACCAAGGAATGAATTATCATTGTAGTGTATAATAAACGCTAACTAATACATTTGGATGTAGAAATGATTTTTTCGAGTAGAGACTTATCTTCCTGTTTAGTAATCCAATTTCATCGGCATACTGCCGTATAATTTAATTCTTTCAAGTATGGTTTCATTATCGCAAACCCAACCACTATTCGTTTTGCGGTTATTATACTCAAGCTATTTACTCAAGTACTATAAAAGTTTACTGAAAATGAACAGACTAGTCGAAAAACTTTCTGAACTTTTAATCCATTTGGATTTTTAAATTTTGTTTTATTTAAATATACCACTTACAACAGAATTGGTTTACTTTGCTGTTCAAGTTTTTTAAATTATTTTCACGACATTCAAAATTAATTAGAGATCATTAATTTGTGATATATACAGTGCCATTCGCGTACGTAAAATAAAAGATTAATTTTTGCCTCTGTTTACTCTACCAGTTTCTTATTAAATATGTTTTTAAACTTTATCTTAAAAAAGTGGTGTTATTACAAACCTTTGCCGTGCTATAATATTTATATTTTTTCTTTTTAAGTTCCAGAATACGAAGTGGTTCCCGTTCAACATAACGTTAGGGGTATACCAGACGATGTGGAAAATGCTATTGAAGATGATGAATTAGATTCTGCAACGAACAAGTCAAAGATAAAAGAAACTAATAATGATGGTACAACAAATCTAAAGCTGAAAGCATTCGGAAAACCGTTTAATTTGAGTCTTATTCCTACTCGAGGTCTATTTAAGAAAGGAAAGTTAAAATTGTGGACTATTGAACCTAACGCCACTGCTCAACATGGTGTGGAGTATGTGGAAATTCCAGAGGTAAGTTATTTTACATTTGTTTTTAGTAGTTGTTTAATTTAATCATTTTTTATAATCCCGTATTTAAATATGAAATATGTGACAAGATGAAATATGTGACAAGATGAAATATGTGACCTAGTCTTGGAAGATGACAAAATCAAAGGCGTGCAATCCTCCAAATACTTGGGAGTCATTTTCAACAAGAAGGGAAATAGCGCAGATGAAATCAGGAAAAAAATAAAAAACTCTCTTTTCTGGTAAAAAATAATTCGACTAGAAACCAAAAAACACATTTACGGTAGTATAGTCCAAAATATTACACTTTAGGGTTCGAAAGTATGAGACGTCACCAAAGCTAATAGAAACAAACTGATGACGACAGAAATGGATTATCTGAGACAAAGCTACGTTAGATCGAAATTGGAGAGAGTTAGAAAGGAACAAATAAGAAACGAAATGAAAATGGAGCGAAATATCAATGATGACATAGAAAGAAAACAATTAATCTGGTTCGGACATGTTCAAAGAATGCCAGAGTATAGATAACCTAGAAGAGTACTGGAATTGATCCCTCCTGAAAGAAGAAAGATAAGCATAAGATAAGTTGTCATAAGCAACTGAATTTGACAGAAAAAGATGGAAATTGGGAGCGGAGAATCGGTAATCAATCCGTTATTATTATTATTATATATATATATATATATATATATATATATATATATATATATATATATATATATAATATATATATATATATATATATATATATATATATATATAATATATATATATATATATATATATATATAATTTTTGATTTACCTACTTTTGTACTCTTCTTCTTTTGTGCCTACCCGTTACGAATGTTGGCAATCATCATAGCAATATTTATCTTATCTGCAGCAGCGCGAAAAAGCTGCAAATATGTTGTATGATGTTCTTTTTCTTCCTGGACCTCGCTTTCTAAATATTTTTCCTTGCAGGATGGCTTAAAGGAAAGCATATCTGGATTCATTTCGCATAATATATCTGAAGAATTGTAACTTTCGAGATTTAATGGTGGTCAGTACCTCTCGGTTCTTATTCATTCCTCCTCATTTGTGACTCGGTCAGTTCACGGGATCTTAAGTATTCTCCGATATAGCCACATCTCAAATGCTTTTAGTTTTTTGCACATATCTTCGTTTAAAGTCCAAGATTCAACACCATAAAAAGGGACAGAGAAGACGTAGCATCGCAGCATTCTTACTTTTGTATCAAGAGAGAGGTTGTGACTCTTGAAGAAGGCCCCCATCAGATTGAAGATGGATCTAGCTTTTGTGATGCGTGCTCTAATCTCCTGGTTGTTGGTCCATTCTTCATTTATTATGGTGCCGAGGTAGTTGTAGTGCGTCACTCTTTCTACAGGAGATTGGTTGACGTAGAGTTGACCTTCTGTTATCTTTACTTTTGTAATAAAAATAACAAATTACCGTATGGATCATTAGGTATTCTCTAAAAATCGAATGTAGCTAATAACATTTTTCCCTTAGAGGTTTTAGTTTTGTTTTTATCAAATCACTTTCTTCTACGCATGAAATTTTTACTATGATGCAGATGTGATTCATAAATCTGTATTTCAAGCAATGTTGCTTTAGATTTGTTTTTATAAATATGGTATTTATCACGTTGATTCTACGGGTTGAATACAATGAGATTCTATGGGTTGAATGGACTTGATGTGATCACAAACACTTTTGACAACGTCTTCGGTTATCAGCTTACGATGAAGGTGATGGCGTCATCTCTGGTCTATTTATATCAAACCTCTAGTAACGTTTAGTTTTTCCAAAGCAATGTAGACAAACTGTTCACTTAAAGAGAAAGTATTTAAAAACGTCTTTTTACAAATAGATATAAACTCATCCTTATCACCTCTCTTTACTTTCAGTCTATAAATGAGCGTAAAATTGCGCCTTGATACTGTACCGGTAAAAACCTTTCGTTTTTTTTTACTTTTTAGTACTAAGCTACAGAACCCCATTGCTTTTCCAAAATTTATTGATAATGGAAATTCTTTTATCGGTAATAATTTTTTAAGAACAGTGTTGTTTATAATTTTCTGGATATATCGGTTTTAATGATTTCGCAAACTGGTTGTACCATCACGACTGTTATATGATTTACCAGTATTGTTGAACGCTAGTTGTTGGTCCTAGATACCATGAGACGACTTAACGCCTTTGAGATGTGGACCTATAGAAGAATTATGAGGGTTTCCTGGTAGATAGAGTTACAAACAATGAAATACTGAGAAGAATAGGCAAAGAGAAGGAAATTGAACTTACAATTAAAGAAAGAAAGCTACAGTATCTCGGACATGTGATGCGGGGCGATAAGTATGGCATCCTGCGACTCATAATGCAAGGAAAAATAGATGGCAGAAGAAGCATCGGAAGAAGACGAATTTCATGGCTAAAGAACCTGAGAGAATGGTTTGGATGCAGCTCAAAACAACTATTTAGAGCTACTGCCTCAAAAATTAAGATAGCTATGATGATTGCCAACCTCCGTAGCGGAGATGGCACCTGAAGAAGAAGAAGTTGTTGGTCTTTCTGTTTCCATCGTAAATTGATTATTTGGATGTAGCCTGTTTATATAAGACAGGAAATCGTCATCGACAGGAAAGTTTTTCTACTCCGTGACCCCAAATCACAAAAGTGTCATCGACGTACCTAAACCATACCCTTGGCTTGTATGCTGAGTCCATTATCCTCTTCTCTAGATACTCCATAAAAAGGTTGGCTACAACCGGGCTTAGTGGGCTTCCCATGAAAAGTAGATGGTAGTGAGGCAAATACGGTATAATTCCACCATATCTTTGGAAACTAGTCCCTCAATTAAATTCAGAACGTCAGATTCCTGTAAAGTTATTCCTTTGATCTTCTCGATTAAATGGACGGAGTCTTTTACAAAGGCATCGTTTTTTCTTATATGTGATTGTAAAATATGTGCCAGATGTTTAGCAAGGCTATAAGATGGAGATCCTATGGAGCTCACAATAGGGCATAGAGGCATAGGGCTCACATCATCTTTGTGTATTTTCGGCAAGCCATACAAACGTAGTAGGACTGCTTCGCAGTTGCATATTCTTGGCTTTATATCCTCTGGTTTGGACGAAGATTTTATAAGTCTATTGAGTTTCCGTAGGGTGGCTGCTGTGGGATCTTTTTAAAGTTTCTTATATACCGCAGGATCTAGAAAATTTTGTATTTTCGTTTTGTAGTCGGTTGCCCCTGCCCACGCGAGCTCGGCTTTTTCTCCCAATCCTCTTCCGGGAAAGAAGCGGATCCTAATCCCTAAATACTACCCACCAACCCAGACCTACCCAAATCCTTCCCTTTCCTCCTCAACCCGCCCTGGACCCGCGTGAGAAGATAACGGTCCAAACCTTCAAGTCAATGTACAGGACAAAAAAGAAAAGGCCCCCAGTGCCCAGCACTTCCCAGAGTCTTGATCACGGCAGCGATCAAACAACTAACGGAAGGGGGGGTGCAAAGAATCCCTGGGTAAGACCTGGTTGCCACAAGATGACAATTTGGCTATGCTCGTACAATATTCAAACACTGACGGACGACAATAGATTCTCAGAAATAGAAAGTAAACTAAAGGATATAAAATAGGATATCCTTGCTATATGCGAGACCAGAAGAAAAAGTGATGAGTATATAATACTAAAAAATGGCACACATTTTATGCATAAAGGTGGCGAATACACTGGAGTGGGATTCTTGGTAAAACAAAGCCTCACACAGTGTATCGAAGAATTCAAGCCTATATCAGACAGAGTAGCATACCTCATCATTAGGATTAATAAAAGAACCACTCTGAAAGTGATCCAAGTATACGCTCCGACCAAAAGCCACGACGATGAAGAAGTAGAAATATTTTATGATGAAATAAGAACAGCTGTAGAAACAAATAAAGCAAATTACGAAATACTACTAGGAGGTTTTATTGCTAAATTGGGCAAAAAGAGGAAGATTATGAACATTTAATTAGTAATTATGACTACGGGAAAAGAAACGATAGAGGAGAAATGCTTGTCAATTTCATGAATGAACATAACATGTACTCAATGAACTCCTTTTTAAATAAAAAACCAAGCAGAAAATGGACATGGATGAGTCCCGATAAAAAGACAAAGAATGAAATAGATTCTCTTAACGAAGAATAAAAACCTAGTAGAAGACGTATCAGTATTAAATCAGTTTGAGCTAGGATGCGATCATAGACTAATAAGAACAAAACTAATAATTAACAAAAAACTAGAAAGAAAACGAATACATGAAAAAAGATACAAATGGACATCTGAAGAAATCAAAAATAGTGAATTTAATAAAAAGATAGTGCATGCATTAAATCAAGTTAGCATGCAGCAGATAAACTCCAATGATATTGATGATTTGAATAACCTTATTACCGAAACAATGAATAAAAGCCTTCTGCAACTGAAAAAACCAAAAACAACATACAATGAATTAGACAAAGAAATATTACAACAAATAGAAAGAAGCACGATCTTAAATAAATCTAACAAAAGAGGAACCGACGAATATAGATAACTTAATAGGCAGATTAGAAAAGGAATCAGACAACAACAAAAAAAAGAAAACGAAAAATTAATAACAACTATTGAAAAAAATAAGAGTATGAAATGCCTCAGACCGACACTAGGACGACGTCAGATAATATCATTAATGGGAAAGGACGAAAATGTAATCACAAGTAGACAAAACATACTGACACGAATAGAAGAATTTTACACAGAACTTTACAGATCACATCAACAAGATGATGAGATGAGACCAGCACGGAAATTAATAAAAAATGTTGGATCAGAAATAATGCCAAAAGTAACAATTTCAGAGGTAACTACAGCATTGGAAAACATGAAGAGAAATAAATCTGCAGGAGAAGATAGTATGACCACAGATATGATATTAGAAGGAGGTAAGGAACTAATTGCAATTGTAACT